GAATGCCTCCCCTTTCCCATCGCCCACTTTGAAAACGCCTCATCACCCTAACGCACAGCTGGCTCGGAAGCCTGGAAACCTTAGCTCACTTACTCAGGCGGATTTAATTCTTCCTCCTCCAGGTGTCAAGAGCAGCCTGCTCATTCCTTTCTGATAGCTGTAGTTATATTACTAATTTCCACACTTTCTCTTGTGGGCAGATGACTGTGTGCTAGTCTTCTCTGTCACCCGAGGCTCTTACATACTTCTTGGCATATAACAGATACTTAATAAACATTGAATCAAGAAATGAGTGAGTGAAATGATTTCTGCAATCAGTAGATACAAATCTATTGGAAAGTTCAATTTAACGTTAGTTCGCTTACCATATATAAAGTTCATTCTCTGTGTCAAGCATGATGGTGCCAAGATTACATCTGTGAATAACTTAGTCATGGCATCTGTCCTCATATTTCTCAGAGTTTGATGAGTCCCACCCACAAGGAAAGATCAGCTGGCAGTAAACAGAAGTGGGATGGGACTTTGCTCCAAGGTAAGTTCTATAAAGTGTCTATGACAAGATTGTTGAATGAGAGCCTGTTATGCAGTCAGGAGGCTCTAGGGGCACAGTGGACACATAGACACAGATCTTGTTGCTGAGGAGCAGATTGTGGGATCAACTGTACTTATTGCCCTGAATTTGTCTTAGGTCTGTCTCCACCTTGCGGAGCCAGGACATTGTCCATTAGCTAGGGAACACCCAAGACTGAGTCAAGGCATAGAACAGCTTCCACAGGGAATGTTGACCACACGGTGGTGCTGTTGACTTCTTCAAACCCTTTAAAACATTTCTCCTGTGTACCTTTGATTCTGGGACCGGTGGGGATTGAAGCTCAGTGTACTTCCTCCTTTGTATTCCTTCTGAGGACATCGCTGTCCCTGACTCTGAGAGCCATTCAGGTTACGCATCACCTGAGTTCTCAGAATCTGTCTTCAGGTCTTAAATCGTGTAGTCAGCCAAACAGTGTGGGCTGACCTCGAGGAGAAGTGACTGGCTTTGGGAAGCACGTTGAGTTCATGCTGCCCTTCATTCATCCTCTAGGCTGCTGCTTGGGTGCAGGAGCAGGGGAAGGGGATCAGCATGGCCCTATCGAGGGTTCTGTGGACAAGGCCTTGGCGAGGGAGGGAGAGGAGAGCTGTCATTCGATGAGCACCTGGGAGGTGTTAAGCACCTTACATTCATCATCTGTTTAAACTTTCTAACAAATTTCACGAGGTAGGCATTATTCTCACTTTATAGATGAGGAAACTGAGGCTGGATAGAAACATTACGTGTCCCAGGTTATACAGCCCAAAGTGGCGAGATTCCGTTTTAAACCCAGGTTTGACTCTCCACAGTCCCAAGTTCTCTTCCTCCATGTGATGTGTGGGATGGAGCCCCGCCCTGGTAGCATTTATAACCAACTTAGGGAGACAAGATTCCTGTAAGTATGTTTAGTAAAATTAGGTGACAGCAACTTAACATCGATGGAAGAGAGCTACTTGTATTGACATGGAAATGGTCACAATATATTGCTAAGTGAGAAAAAACAAGCTTGAGAATAGCAAGTTAGTCTTCAGTGGAGGCCAGCAGTCAGGGGCATCGTGCCCACCGTCCAGATTACAACCGAACGGGGCTTCCCCCTTTTTCCTACCCGTCAACTCCTTCCAAGGGTTGATCATTTCCATTACGTACTATAGGTTAGTGCAATCTGTTCCACATGCAAAGGAGATCATTTAGTATGTACACTTGCACGTTTGGAAGCTTTCCCCACACCATGTCCATGTGATTTATCCATGTTGCGTAGCAGAGGCCTTTGAGGGTTGCTGAGTGCTGTTCTGTTGATGATACTGGTTGATGGACATTTGGGTGATTTCAGATTTGGGGCTATTGTGCATACAATTACTATGAGCGTCCTTTTACATGTCTTGTGACTGATGCATTCACTCCCATCTCTTGAATATCTGGGTTGTCTCAAGTTTGGGTCCACTGCACATAATGCTGCTATACGCATTCTTGTGCCTGGCTTTTGGTGCACACCTGTAGGCAGTTCTGTTGGGGACACATCTGGTTTGCTGGGCCAAGAGCACGTGGATATTTAACTTGCGTCGGGAGCCAGAGTGTTTCCAGCACGGTGGGACATCTTGCTTGTTATTGACATTCAACACCGAACACAGGGTGTGTGGCAAATGGTCCCTAGGTGAGTGCTGGAGAGTGAGGAAGCAGGGGGACGGCATGAGAAAGTGTGCGACACAGGCTGTCATCGTTGTAGACATGTTGAGTCACAGAGTCACAGGCACGGCTCTATGGAGGAGGATGCTGTCAGGGAGGTAAACTGTCACATCTAAGATAATGTGGGTAAAGTGGGTTAAATGACAAGATTCCAGAGCTGGAGGGAATGTGTCAACCAGCAGTTAGCAAAGAAAGGGACATTGTGTCTTCTAGGCAGGTGCTGTGAAGGGCAGGTGGAGTTGTTGGATCTGGGGTAGATCCTCAGTTGGCAGGTCCAGAACTCAATTTTTTTTATCCTCACCCAAGGATATTTTTCCATTTATCTTCAGATAGAGTGGAAGGGAGGGAAAGAGAGAGGGGGAGAGAGAGAGAAACATTAATGTGAGAGAGACATCGACCGGCTGCCTCCTGCACGACCCAACCAGGGCCGAGGATAAACCGCAACTGAAGCATGTGCCCTAGAATGGAATCGAACCCGCAACTCATCGGTCTGCAGGACGATGCCCTAACCACTGAGCTAACCAGACAGGGAAGCCCAGAACTCAATTTTATCTGCTTAGCCCATCCACGTTTGATCTGGGTTATAAAAGTGGCAGTTGTTCAATTACTAGTGGAGTTCCTATGCTCGACATCTCGGCGCCGCATTAGCTGAACAGAGTATCAGGTGAACTGGGAGTCTGGCTTCAGAATGTGGTGTTGACTGTCTGTTCTTATGTGACACTTCATGTGGCCGGGCCAAGCCCTGGAGCAGCTTTTCCAAGTGTGTCCCATGGGTCCTCAGAGCGGATTCCTCTGAAGAGTTCTGCATCCGGTAAACGGACAAACCACACAGTCTCCTCTGGTCTCAGAAAACCTCAGCACACATTAGCATCAAAGGCTCTGGCAAGTCCTACTGCAAAAAAAGAAAAAAAAAATCTGTGTAACCATGCTCAGCATTCTGTCACACTTGACCAACAGAAACCCTGCCTTCTGAATCCTTTTTCTATAAACAGAGTCTGCAGAACACTACAGAACCCTCTGAGAACATCAAAGAAGTATCTCTGTTCCACCCCAGTACAGTGCTTTTTAAACGGCATCATTAGTGGATATTAGTGAAATCAAGCTAATGATTGGAGACCACCATTGAAAAAAATTAAAATGGAATAGACTAGAAAAAAATCAGAATGCACCACATGTAATAATGCTTTATAGAACTTTGTTTTAATTACATTTATACATATATGTTTGTGGGGGGGGGGGGGTCACAGCATAGAATGCATGTCTTATGCCGGCTGCAGTAAAAAAAGGAGACATTGTCCTCCCCAAGTGTCTGGACAAAGCGCCGAAAGGTTTGCACCGTCCACCTGCTCCTTCCTTCCCCTCCTCGCCCAGCGCCCAGCTCTCCGGCCCCTGTGCGGACAAGCTGCAGTTTGCAGCACTGTGTCCTGCCTCCCGCTCCTTATCTAGTCCTTCCTCTTCCTCTCACGTGCCACCCAATAGACTTTGGCTTACTAAACTGACTGTCCTCCCTCAGGAAAGACACTTCAACCCCCTAATCCTGTTTCATCGTTTTTGTAAAATGGTGATGATACATTTTCTCTCTCAAGGTTATTTGTGATGATGCAATGAAAGAACCCATGGGAAGCACCTGGAACATAATATGAACTGGAAAATACTTTTCCTTCTATCTGTTCTCCTCTGCTTATCCCCCCCCCCCCCCCATTTAAGGAGACACTCTAGGTTTGAGAAGCACTGTTACCCTGTTATCGATGATGATCTCAGAGCCTTCTGCAGAGAACTCAGTTTCTGTCCATCTAATAATGATCCTTGTTTGTTTTAATCTTGGAGGGTGATTGTTCAGCCTGGTTTCCAGGTCCTCTCCTGGAGCCCTGCTGCTGACTGCTTACAGCCTCTTAAGAATCCTGAGATCCAAAGCTGGGCTACTTAGGGACACAGGTCTCAAGGAGGTCCAGGAACAGGGTGAGGGTCACTAAGCTTTAACAGAGTTGCCAGCCCCAACTCCAGGGTTGGGCACTCCATGCCCTGTCCTCTCTCCAACAAGGAGCATGCCAGGTCCTGCTGAGACTGCCACAGCCCACCCACCCTTCGGTGATTCAGGGGACACAGGCACTGTCTGTGCTTCCAATAACGCAGGGGTTGGTATTAGTCATTAACTCCAGTGCCCTAATGGGGCTCTGAGATGCAAGTAAAAAGGGCTTGTGTTTCTGAGGGTCTGCCGGGGAGAACCACAGATTTGACGACTCTCAGCAGGTCCCTCAAATTGCCATAGCTCACAGCACACCCGCACACCTCGGAGGCGGCATTTGGGCTAAGTGCCCAGGCCCTGCGCTCTGCCCCTTGCCTCCTGCCAGGGCTCACCAGCCCTCAGGGGCAAGGATGGCTCCTTCCTAGCACCTGGGCCCCGGCTTCAGGCACCACGGCTGCCCGGGGCAGGGCTTTTATTGTGAAAGGAGCTCCCCCCTTCCGCGCTTTCGGGGAAGCGGAGAGGCTGGGCCAGGGCCAGCAGCAGGGACTTTGCGGACTCCGCGAGCGGTCCTAGCTGATCTCCGAGGCTCGGAGCTGCCGGGAGCTCCCCCGGACCTACAGATCCCACGTGCGTTTGCCCAGACCTTCTCAAACAACTCCGCCCACGGAGCACCCCCACGCACGTCGCACGCCGAGTTGTCAAGGGGCCACTTGGAAGCTGTGGACCTTCGATCCGCGGCAGCCACGTCCAGGGAAGCCTGGCGAGCCACTGCGCCCCGGGCGCCCAGGAGACCCGGCGGCAGGATGAGCTGGTGAACCGGCTGAGCGCGGAGCAGCGGGTCCGGCCACCGTGGGGACATGGTAGGGATATTGGGGAAGCGCCGCGGGAAGGATGGGGGGGCTCCCAGACAGGTGGCTTCCGACAGCGACAGCGCGCGCCCGCTGTGGGCGCTCAGAGCCTGAACTTCGGGTGGGAATTGTTCCTCGAAGGTTCCGTGGGCGCGGTGGGGGCTTTCATGTCTGCACCTAGGACGGGGGGCAGAAAGCTTTGCTGCCCCCTGTGGTGGGGAGAACCGCAATTCCGGGCTTTCTTTATGGACCCGCACACCCAGGGCTGAGCTGTAACCTTACCCTCTCAGCTCTGCACAAACTTCATCCAATCCACAGGGCAGGAGAGGACAGGATCTGGGGGGCACCCAAGGCATCCTCTGGTGGGCCAGACACCTTGAAGTCGCTTTATTCTACTAGAAAATGCAGGCGAATTTTTTAGTGTCTTTAGCTTAGCCTTGTTTGAATATTAAAAAGTAATGCCTTGCGTTTATTACCATAGGGTCACATTGGCCCTGGTAAGGTTCCAGTGCTTGGCTGCATTTAGCTCCAAAAGTGGATCATGTGTAAATTATGTTGAAGCTGGACCCCAACCCTGGTGGTGACCTCTTCTTAGCGTGGATAACTTAGAGGGTATGAGGAAGAAGGGGTTCTCAGCCCTGGTTCTGTCTGCTCCTGGATCAAATCCAGGGTGGGATCCAGGTCATGGTATTTTTCTAAGGCTCCCCGGTGATCCAGTGAGCAGCCAGGACAGGAACCCAGGGTTAGAAGGCTGAGGGAGCAGCGGGGGCTGGGGCTCAAAACCGCACTGGGCCAGGGGCCCCTGCCCCTGCGCCGGTGGAGGGGCCGCTCTCTGATGCAAGTCCTGAAAGGTTTTGGGGAAATTCATCTGGGAAATGGTACATGCTACATACCCCTCTTAGGGAATCCTTCTATGGAGAAACCTCTTCAAACTCATTAAAACTGAGATGTGAACTTCCCCAACTTGTTTGAACACGGAAGCTTTTATTCAGTAATTCCTTATTATGAATCCAAGGTACATACGACGGGAAAACCTCAGTTAGAAATATAAAGCTAAACCCTGGCTGGTTTGGCTCAGAGGTTGGAGTGTTGGCCTGCGGACCAATGAGTCACAGGTTCGATTCCGGTCAGGGGCACTTACCTCAGTTGCAGTTTGTCCTGGGCCCTGGTCAGGTCTCACGGGAGGCGGCCGGTGGATGTGTCTCTATCACATTGATGTTTCTCTCTTTCTCTCTCTCCCCTCCCTCCCACTATCTCAAAGAAGAAAAAGAAATATAAAGATAAACGTCTGGAATCCTTAAATGCCTTTTTGCAAAAGTAAAACCTGAGCTGCAGAACTTTGGGGCAATGTTTTTATTGATTTTAGAGAGAGAGAACCATCGATGAGAGAGAAACTTTTTGGCCGCCTCCTACACACCCCATACTAGGGATCGAGCCCACAACCTAGGCATGTGCCCTCACTGAGAATCCAACCTGTGACCTCTTGGTGCACCGGAGGACGGAGGACGGAGGATGCTCAACCAACCGAGTTACATTGGCCAGGGCCTGAGGGCATTTTTGATCGTGCTGAAGGGGGGTGTGGCTTGCTGTGTGTATTTCTAGAGCTAAGATTGGGACACTTAACACCTTCCTTGCAGTAATGGAGGGAGACTTGATGTGTGCCAAAGACTCCGAGCTTGGATGAAACATTCTGATGGAAGTTAATACTACTGCGGACACATTTTTAAAAAAGTTTTCTTCCTGATTGTTGTGGGGTAAATGTACATGACAGCCACATGGCCAAGTTCTTTAACGTAATCATGGTTATCGTTTTGATGTATTTCTTGCTCTTTGAGTGGTATTTTAAAGAGTCGAAATCATACCAAACACGCAGTTTTACAGCCTGATTCGTTTTACTTCACGTTTCAGCAAAGCGTGTCTACATCTCTAAAAAAAGTCTGCATAACTGTCCTCTTCATGGTCAGTACCAGGGTTTTGATAATCGTCTCCTGCTTGTGGACTTTCCGCACTGGGGTGTTTCAGTGGCGTGTGGCCCGCGTCTGAGTATCCATGGAAGTGGGGATCTGAGTGCTTGGCTAAGTGGAAACCAGACAAGCTCACAGGAGCAGATTGCTTCAGCCTCTCTGGGAAAGCTTTTCCGTGGCCAGGGCCCCGGGTGGGCCCAGGGTGTGCGCGTGGGAGGCGTGTCCCCTAGTCTGCCTGCATGAGGGGAGAGGGGTCCCAGGGGAGCCCACACATGGGTCAGTTCTCCTGGAAAGGACCAGGAGCTAAAATCCCTGGAGGTTAAGCTCAGAGGGGAGTCCAGGTGAAGGAGCTGGGTCCAGAGAAGGAATGTGACCTCAAGGTCACACAGAGCTGGCCTAGAGCCTAGGTCTCCTAGTCCCCCACCCCCACTCGCGTACAGGTCCTGTCACAGACACAGTGGCGTCTTCATATACTTGAGGCATTTGCTGCAGTTTGGAGTGGTGGAGAGAAGGCAGGGCTTTGAATCAGAATGAGGTTTGTACCAGACTAGGCGGCCCGTGTGGCCCTGAGCAAGCACTTGAGTGCTCTGAGCCTCAGGCTCCTTATCTGTAAAATGGGTTGTTACAAGGAGCAAATGGAATCACAGAGGTGAGAACACTCGGCACCCCAGAGAGGCTATCAGAATGAGGGTTTTACAGAGGACCCACTAAAATAGCTTTTCTTTTTGTCAGGACCGAAAGCAGTAAGGAAGTCACCGTGCACGTCATTCATCACCAGTCGGGGGTGCTCTGGGCGTTGTGTAGCTGTGGGTCCGATGCAGGCAGTCCTACACCGAACTGCCAGTTTCCTGCTCCTTCAGGTCCCTCTTCACCAGGCAGGAAATGCCAGTCTGCAGAGACGTTTGCCCAGGCCTTGTTCCCCGGGCCTCCTGGCTGGGGGGGCAGCTCCCACTCACCCACAGCCCCTGAGGTCTAGGCTGGATGCTCCAGCAAACCACCCTGCGAAGGTCTGGGTGAGTCCCTCAGGAAGTTAAACCGGTTTTGGAATCCGAACTGGGAATCCAGGCTTCCAGGCCCTGGAGCCTGTGGGAATCTGATACCCGCTCCGTGTGGCCCCGCCCCTCACCTGCAGCTCCTGCTGCTTATGGGAGCCAGGTGAGCTCAGGGCTGGCTTCCAGCAGAGGCTTTTTAACAACCCACTGGCCCAACATGCCAGGCAGGAGTTGGTCCACAAACAGGGGGTTGGAAGTGGGGGTGGAGGGTGGATTGGCCCCACAAAGAAAGGAGCCCTGAGCTGCTTCAGGGCGCAGTGGGAGAGGTGTGCTTCAGACGGGCCGGCCGCAGAGATGCTGACGCCCTCCGTCTCCATCCACAGTACCAAGGTGGAAACAGAGCGGTCAGGTTTCCTCGCGGCCCCATGCTGTGAGCAGCCTGGGCTCCTCTGCTTGGACGGTTTTCGACGTGAGGGCTGGAGTGTTTCCATCTGGGGCGTCCGGGCACAGTCCCTGCATTGTCCGGATGGGTCTGCACCAGCCGAGGTCTACAGGCCTGAGAGTGAGGTGCAGCAGTGGTTTATGGGTGACCCCCGGCTGCCTGTCTCTGTGTGGACCCCTATGCCAACCCCCAAACACAGCCGCATATTCCTCGAAGTGACCTGGGGTCTGGCCGTATTCCCCAGGGCCTGGCCCGGTGGTCCCAGAAGTGCTCCCTGAGAGGAAGCTGGGAGATGATTTAAGGGAGCAGCTGGTGAATTCAGGGGTGAAGGGGTGAGAGGGAAGGGAGGGAGAGGGGTGGAGGACGGCGAGACAGTGGGCCTCGAGCTGGTCTCGCAAACACGCGTCTCCCTTGGGCAGGGCCCGAGTCTTGCTCCCAGTGGCTCTGGGATTCCTGAGTGGCACATCGAGAAGGCCACAGAGGGGGGTTCACAGTCTGGGCATGAGTGTGCCTCGGCGCTCCCCTTCTCCCCCTGCGGCCTGACATGCACTCACTCATCCACCCGTTCAGAAGATGCTGCTTTAAGCCCGCCCTTGTGCTAGGGCAGCAGGTACAGCAGTCAGTACCACAGACCCTGCCCCTGGGTGTACGCAGTCTAGGGGTGCTGCTTGTGTGTGCCCGTGTGTGTGCACCCGTGTGGGTGTATGTGGGGTTCAGGGGAGAGGGAAGCACAAAGAAATGTTTCCCTTTCACGTCGATGTTTCTCTCTCTCTCCCTCCCACTCTATCTGAACAAAAATGGAAAAAAGCCCTCAGGTGAGGATAAAACAAAAAACATAAAAACCTGGATCCAAATGTTTATAGTAGCTTTATTTATAATTTCCTCAGCTGGAAACAACCCAGATGCCCCTCAACTGTAAGTTGGACAAACACACTGTGATCCATCTATGCGTGGACTCAGCAGTAAAGAGAATGGTGCGGATGCAGCGGCAGCGTGGCTGACTCGTGCGGAGGGGAAGACTCAGTCTGAAGGTCATGGGCTGTGTGATTCCGTTCATGTGACACCTGGAAAAGGTGAAGCTGTAGAGGTGGAGGACAGGCGGTCGTTGCCAGGGGTTAGGGATGGAGAGGCTGTGACGACTACAGGAGAGCTTTTTGGGGTGATGGAACTGTTACAGGCTGCTTGTGGCATTGGTCATGCGAATCTGTACGTGTGTTAAAACTCGTAGAACTGTATGTTAAAGATTTTACTTTTGCTGTATGTAAATTAAAAAATAATATAACAAGAAGAGGGAAAGGCAGCCTAGCAGAAGGAGCCGCATGTGCAAAGCCCTGGAGGCAAAACTGAGCTGTCAGAATTGGCTGGGAGGGAGTTGGGGGGAACCTCCTAGAGATGGGGCTGGAGTCGGAGCCGGAAATGTGTGCTATTATCCCGAGACAGAGGGCACAAGGGAAGGGCTTTTGAGCTTGGAGAGGTGGGGTTGTGTCTGCATTTTGGAGAGCAGTTTGGAGGGGTACAGGGCGGGGAGTGGGGGGTAGTGTTTGGGGAATAATCATGATCCTGGTGGACACGATGGAGGGACGGGCCGTGCGGCTGGCGGAGGGGGCAGCTGGG